TTTTTTTTTCAGTGGCCATCGCCTGTTTGACGAATTAGTGCTGCAACTCCTCGCCAACACCGCTTTTTGTCTCTAACACTTTCGGTCCACGACTGTAGCGCAGAAAGTTGTGAAGGTATGTTTTGAAGCGATTGAAAATCAACATCGATTTGTCGACTCGTACGTAACAAATCGCAACGCTCGTCGCACTTGTCGGCGATGACCTTGCGTGCCAAGCGCAAAAACGTCGTCTACCTTCGAAGCTAATATTATGAACGATATAAAGCAGAGCATAAGTGAGAAAATGTAAAGTCTGCTACCTAAAATAGCTTGGAAAAACACACGCACGCACTTCAGCAACTTTGATCGTCTCATTTTCGTAACTACGGTAGCGCGACTACGGTATTACTCTTGAGTGGATAGTTTTGCATCGTGAAAGATGATTCACGCAGAAACTGGGAACAACATTATCTTTAACTATGCACTATATCCTTATACAGGGTAGTTTTCCAATTACATATGATGAGTATCAAAGTGATGTATGCAACAGAAGTAGAGTACCGCAAATTTGGTCTGTGATTTGACTTGCAAAGTATGCCACTACAGTGACCAACTGAAGAAACATAACAAAGTATTCGAAAAAAATCCCCCTTCCATTCTATCTGAAGTTCAAGCTCAGTGAAATTGCGGACGTGAATGCTCAAACGACCAGATCAAACTTAAAATTCTGTAGTGCTTTACCTCAGCCACAGTGATCGTATTCCATGAAATGTTTTGATTTCGCAAATATTTCATAGCATCGTAATAATTCTGAAGGCGACGGAACAATTCCATTTTGTCGTGAAGGATCCGTCTTGCCTCCGTATGTCGCTCGTCTAACTGCGGACAGAAAGTCACCAACTCCTCGCCAACCTCCTGAAAAATGCCAAATCAATAGGCACAAGTACGGCTACAGGACCGACAGAACACAACGCCACATACATACACACAACGAGCGGACGTCGAGGGCGGACCCAGAGGCTGGGTGATAAGGAGTGGAAGGCGCTGTTGCAGAACGCACGAAGTGG